GAGAAAAATTTAAATGTTATTAATGACAATATCTTGGCTAGGTATATCGCCGGTGTTTTATGCACATAACCATAACATACTGGATTATAATAAATTGTTAATGCTTAATCATTAGGAAATCTTCGAGTATTTCAAAGATGGAGGAAGATAGGTATAGGTAAGTAAATTTTGCACACGATAGTCTAACAAAATACAGGATATTTCATTTAAAATAAGTACATTATTACAGCTTGAATTTGCTAATAACAATCTAATATCTTGACCACGCTGTAAAAAATTTTGATGTAATAAACATCCATTTAAATATGACAAACAATCTATTATTAAGGCTCAAGAAAACTTTGTCTTTGATTCTTAGAGTCGTAGATATTTAATTTTTTCTAAAACCTTATATTTTTAGAAAAATCGAAATTGGATCTTGGAGGCAGTATGGGTTGCCGATGCTCATACTGTAATAAAACTCCCAGTAATGTCCACTGTTTCCGACGAAAGAGTTGGGGGTTCTAAAAATAGAACTCAGCTTCTGCAACCAAACCCTACTCTCACGTCCCCGAAGGCTTTTGCTGGGTAACCACTGGATGCATGGCGTACAATGGTTGTACGTTATGTAGCAGACGAGAGGGAGTGAAAGGCGAGTTTCTGGCGCATAAAAACTGGAACATTTCGGCTAAGGGAATAAACTCTGACAGAAAATTCTGGTTCTCCAGGTTGGGGATTGGGCAATGGACGGTAACCAGGAGTACAAACATCATTACTTAACGAACTCAGAAAATACAAAATAGAACTAGCAGCAAAACAAGAAACTAAATGGCTAGGACACGGAATAAAATACACAAAAACGCATACAATACTGTATAGCGGAAAGAAAGAGTTCGGAGTAGCTTTCATAGTTGACCATAAGATAAAACACGCCATATTAGATTTCAAAGCAGTGAATGAGAGAATATGTAAACTAAGAATAAAAACAAAATTCTTTAATCTCTCAATCATTAACATACATTGCCCAACAGAAGAACACAGCATGGAAATAAAAGAAGATTTCTACGAGCTGCCAGAAGAAGTATACTAGAGCTCACCAAGAAACGACATCAAGAACGTACTAGGAGATATGAATGCTCAAATAGGCAAAGAAGAACTTTTCTTAGGAACCATTGGTAAACATTCACTCCATCAAAATACCAATGAAAATGGAGAATTACTTATCAACTTTGCCAGTAGAAAAAATATGATCATAAGTTCGACTTTTTTCCCACACCCCGACATACACAAAGCGATATAGATTATGCCTGGAGGAACAAGCGTCAACAAAATTGATCATGTCTTGATAGACAAACGGGCCGCAACAAGCATATACAAGATGTGAAGAGCCGAAGTGGAGCATTCTCCGGATCTGACCATATCCTGGTACAGATAAAATACAGATGCAGAATTCAGAGAAACAGGAGGGAAAGGCAGGAACAAAGAACAGAACAGCTAGATATACAAAAATTGAAACAACAAAATGTCAAACAGACCTATGGGAGAGAAATAACACAAATACTGACAGACACAGGCAGTCTAGGCACCGAAGAACATTGGGAAGAAATCAAAACAAAAGTTATTGACGCAGCAAGAAAAATCATAGGCAAGAAAAAGAAAAATACAGAAAGGGAATGGTTCAATGACGAATGTAATAAGGCCATACAGAAAAGAAATGAAGAACACAAGAAATATATGGAAAGAAGAACCAGAGAAAGAAGGGCAAGTTGCCAAGATGCAAAACGGAGGGTCGATAAAATATGCCGAATAGAGAAAATAAAACACGAAAACGGCAACATACAGAAAATGGAAGAAAATCTTCAAAGCAACAATATAAGACAGGCGTACAGATATCTACGCAATTTAAGAGAACGATACAAACCCCGAACAAATCTATGCAGAAATCAAGAAGGGCAAATAACCAGTGATCCAAAAGAAATAAAATCAATCTGGAAAACCTATTTCCAAACTCTTTTAGGGACACAATAAAATGAAGAGCATATGGACATGCATCACAATGAGGAAGACACCGAAAATATAGAACCCCCAACGATGGAAGAGGTAAAACAGACAACGTCTGAGCTATATAAATTATTTGGCGATCACCTAGTAGGACAATGCATATGTTAATGAACAAGATTTGGAATGATGATAAGATCCCTAATGATTGGAAAACCGGGATTATATGCCCCATCTATAAAAAAGAGGATAAACTGAAATGCGAAAATTATCGCACAAAACTAAGGCAAAAGAGACCGGACTAGAAATAAATATTCAAAAGACAAAAAAGTTAACACAGGCAAGAGCTAGGAGAAACAGACGCACAGTTGAATTAGAGGACGATATTGAAACGGTAGAAAGTTTCACATATTTAGGAGTTGCATTAAACACGGATGGAACAGATGAACCAGAAATCCAAAGAAGAATAGTAAAGGGAAACAAAGCTTATTTTTCACTCGAGCATGTGTTCCGCTCCAAAAACACACACCGGAGATCGAAAATCAGGGTCTACAAAACTATTATCAGACCAATAGTATGTTATGCATGCGAGACATGGGTGATGACAGAAGAGACAAAAAGAAAACTGGAAGTCTTCGAAAGAAAAGTCCTAAGAAAGATATTTGGACCTATTAACGAAAACGGAATATGGAGATCCAGGTACAACCATGAACTCTACCATCTGTTCAAAGAGACACCGATTTCAGAATTCGTTAAACTTCAGAGACTTCGCTGGGCTGGTCATGTAGTAACAATGGAGACAAAAAGATTGCCGAAAAGAGCCCTAGATAGTAAAATGCAGGACGCAAGACCAACAGGAATGCCACGGAAAAGATGGGAGGATGAAGTGGCAGCGAACGAGCAAGATTTGCTAGACGTGAGAACCTGGAGAAGATCGGCGCGTTACCGAAAAGGTTGGAGGCATAGATTGGAGGAGGCCAAGACCCGATTTGGGCTGTAGCGCCATTGGAGAGAAAGAAAAACAAATAAAATTTGCTTTTGAAACAAATTTCTAGTCTGCAAAAGTTGTTACCTTAAAATTTAATTTAGATGTATTGTGTTTTTTACTTGTTTTATTCTGTCTAGGTTTACTTTCTAATATAGTTATTAGTTTTTAGCAGTAGTAAGCACTCTTTTAATGTAATAACAATCATTTTGTGTTTTGAAGGAGGTTAAATAAATAAATAAAAAATTATTTTTAAATTGTATAGATAGTGGCCCTGTATATTTTTATGAAGAAAAAACTTTAGATATTAGGTCTTTTTCCGTACAGAGAGCGAGGCGTATAGAATGTACTATGTGTATAGCTTATCTGAAATATACAGTGCCTCACATATTCGTTTTAGCCCAATTCGACGGTCTGATAAAATCATATCATGAACTGCATCGAAATTTATGGATTTCATCCATAAAACCCTATGATATCTTGTACGTAAGTATACGTTAATAATTAAGATACTGTGTAGTGTCCTTTTCGTAGTCGCATTGTTCGTTGTTTCTATTTTTATTCGTTATATCCTCACCTTTCATTATTTGCAAAGTCACATGTTAGGACTCAGTTATCAGTTATTTTGGGTTAGCGATCAGTTATTTTGTAGGCAGCCAGAGACCTTCTTTAAGTAAAGAAATCAAAATTTGTCTTACAGTAAATCTATTTTCATCCAAAGTGCCCTATGATATCTCGTTTGTAAGTATACGTTTCTTAATAATTAAGATACTGTGTAGTGCCCTTTTGGTAGTCGCCTTGTTTTTTTTTCTATCTTAATATATTCGTTATGCCCTTTCCATTCATTTGCTATGTTGCATGTTAGGATTCGATCAATTGATTATATTGTACTTAGCCATAGTATCAGATGTCACCATTTTCATCCATAGTGACATCTGATATCTCGTATGTAAGTATACTTCATCTAATTTAGATAACGACTTACGTCATTATCTACGTCAGAGATCGAAGTTGACATAGTTGCCAAAATATAAAAAAATCCTGACTCCATTTTAAATCAAATAGATTACATAATTATTGCAAAAGTATTACCATCTTTTTACAACGACTATTTAAATTCTTACGTGACATTTTTGAAATAAAACACACTAATTTTTTTCTAAAAAGAACAGATTTTATTAAATAGTTAAAAATATAAAACAAGAGATATTCACTTTAAAATTCAAAATAATGAAGTACAAAAAGTGTCAACACCGCAACTGTCAAATAAGTGTTACCAATTTATTCCAAAATTTTACCTTCGTTCGATTACAGTTACAGTGTGTTCCAAACAAATGTTCTTGATAAAAACGCTTTATAATGCATTTATACAAATTAAATGAAACATATTATTGTGTATCTCTTTAAGTTAACATTAATAGAAATTTTTAAATATTATTTCTACGCGTATATAATAAAATATGTCTAGTGGCTGTAATGCCAGTGTACTCGGTAAAGTGATTCTAAAAAAGAACACACCTACCGGCTAAATATTTTGTGTTGGTATCATGTGACGTCACAGGTTATGACGCCGATGACGTGCATCGTTATATAAATTAGATGAAGTGTATGCGTTTATTAACGAAGATGCTGTGTAGTGCTCTTTTGGTAGTCGCCTGGCTTGTTTTTTCTATCTTAATATAATCTTACCTTTAACGCATCATACAATCGGACCTATAACAACGGAGATATGGTGTAATGCACTTTTGGCGTTACCGTCATGTTTGTTTTTTGATTATTGTACTATTTACCCTCTCCCATTTTCAACGAGTCTTTCCTATCTTATCAACCAGACCGACAAATATTACTTTCGGTAAACCTCAGATTTTACACAGAGATATAGTGAAATGGACCAAAAACATTTACACTTAAGAAATGTCATGAGATTATAATTCAAATGTCAATGTGATTACTAAGAGAAGTACTTGGATGTACGATTAAGATTTTAAAATTACTTAAATAAAATAAAAAACATGTATTAATAAAAAATAATGCTTACGTAGAGTTACAGTTAATAGCCATCTTATGAGGTCTTGTGCTCATTTTAAACCTATTTATGAGAACTATATGAGGCAGGGCATAAAACTGTACTAGTCCGGAATCCCTGCCTATCACTAAACATTTGTCACTTGCAACCAGACAGCATATTGGATCTATTGTTTCATGTGTGCTAACGGGTACTGTAGTGGTACCTTCTAATTCATGGATGATTTCCACGGCACCAGAAGGACTGTCATCGATGTGGAACATTTTAATTTTACTACTACCCACTAAATAAAAAATAAAAAAGTTACAATTGTTTAGAGGAAAAATCTACTAGAAACTTACTGCTTGATACAGCCTTTGGTGTCTTGTAATGCCACACTATAAAATTATTTTTTGATGCAGCAAATACTTGATAAGAGTTCATTGTAACTCCAATAGGTTCTATATTGATATATTTACCTAAAATGGGGAGAGTAGTATATATAAACTTTTTTAATTCCTGGGTTTGTCTGTTATAAAAAAACAATTATTGCTTAAACTTTTCGGCTATTTAACATTTAGGCCAGGAAATCCCTCTGTCCTGTAAACTGTTCAATCTGGATCTGGAAAAAGTAATACGTATGTCCCAAATCACAACCACTGGTTCAGTATATAACAAATCAGTAAAAATCCTTGCCTATGCTGATGATATCAATATTGTTGGTAGAACGGCAAACGCTGTACGAGAGGCACATGTAGCATTATAAGAATCAGCTATAAAATGGATTTAACGATATCAATAACACCAACAAAACGAAGCATATGAAAATAAGCACGCAACCATAAATCTTACGACCATTTGTTATAGAAAACGAAGCAGTGAACGAATTTGTATACGTGAGAGCGCTCCTTAAAACTCAAAATAATACTACCGCAGAGATAAACCGCAGAATTTGCACAGCCAACAGATGCTATTTTGGGCTCAATCTCCTCCTGAGATCCACAATTATATCGAGAATTACAAAAATAAAACTCTACAAAACAATAATACGCCCAGTCCTAACATATGGTTCAGAGACTTGAACTCTAACAAAAAATAATGAAAACATGTTAGGATGTTACGAAAGAAAACTACTAAAAGAAAACTACTAAGGCGAATCTATGGACCAGTGAATGACAATGGAATGTGGAGAAGACGATACAACTTCGAACTGTACAGAATATACCAGGAACTTGATATAGTTAACTTTATAGAATATACCAGGAACCTTTTATGAGTTATAGATGCGTTGGTATTAAAATTTAAATATCTTTCGGACCAAACATCCATGTAAACCAGTTAGTTGTTATCAGTCGGTTATTGTTGTTATACTCTAAACCTACTTTTCTTTTCTTGATTTAAGTTCCGACAAACCCAAGAATTAAAAAAGTTTCCATTTAAAAATTCACGGAAAGGAAATAACAAACAATACAAAAATATATATATATATATATATATATATATATATATATATATATATATATATATATATATATATATATATATAGAGTGGACCAAAAGTCTGGAAACGGCTAATTATCTCGTAAATTACTAGACATAATTATACAAAATTTAAGATACGCCTATTTTGGGATGCCAGATTTTCAATTTCTCTTACCTATATTACTAGTAACTTTGGTTTTTCAAATGCATCACCCTGTATATTCAGTCATTATTGGAATCTCCTATTAAATACGAGTTCAACCATATGTAACACTTATGATTTTATGTCGTCTGGAAGGTCTTAAATACATAAAACAGAAGTCTGGTAACGTCTAAATTGTTTCAATACATTTTTTAATACTAACTATTTTCAAATACATTTAAACGTAACAATTGATAGTTTAGAATATTTTTTTACATAATAGTTACGTTATTAAGTGTTCAAAATGTGCTCCATTTGTGAGTTAACAGCACTCTAATCGATGGTAGAATACGTCTACCACATTTCTCCATGATTGTCTAGAAATTATTCGAGATTCATTGATAATTCATTGCCTTAGCTATGCAAGACTTGCTGGTTAAGTTTTGTAAACTGAATTTTTCAAGTATCTCTAATAAAAATAATCTGAAGGATTGAGATCGGGTGAACGTGGAGGCCATTCAATTCTACCTTGTCTAGCAATTTATCGTCCGGGAAATATCTCATCTAAATAACGCCGAATATTTACACCAACTATCTGACGTTAAACTTTCGATAAAAAATGGCCCAATTAAATAAGTACCTACTATAACTGACCATACATTTAATTTTTGTGGTCTTTGAGTACGGTTTTCACGCATTAAGTGTGAATTTCACTCAGTCTGAAAGATCTTAAATACATAAAACAGTGCAAAATATGTAGATTTTAATAAATTTAAATATTTAAATGGAGAATGCTGTGATTTTGACATTTGTTCACCATTTAAATTATGAACTAAAATTGATAGTAGTTGTGGTTCAAAAAGCTCTGCAATTTAATTGCTTCTCTAAAATGCCGTTCTCTAAACAGTTCTCCTATTCATAAGACGACGGTACAAACAACTGTAAGGCGATTTGAGGAATCTGGAGAAGTAAAAGATAGATACCGATCAGGTTGACCGAAACGAGTTATCAATGACAACAAAACTTCAGATATAATCAAAGTTTTGTTGAAGATCCACATACATCCCCAGGCAGGGTTACACAAGTACATGATGTAGGTCATTCTTCAGTCTTACGTTTATTACGTAAAAATAAATTTAAATCATACAAAAAATTAACTTATTTCAAAAATTAAATGAAGATGACTTTGGTCGTAGATTAGAGTTTACTGAGGTAATGATGGTAAAATTGAAAATTATTAAAATTTCGTTAACAGAATATGTTTTTCCGATGAAGCAACTTTAACACTGTGGAAGTGTAAATCGACACAATTTAAGGTACTGGTGTGACGTAAATTCACACTGAAGACTGAATGCGTGAAAACCATACTCAAAAACCACAAAAATTAAATGTATGGTCAGATATAGTAGTTACTTATTCAATTGGGTCATTTTTTGTCGAAGGAAATTTAACGTCAGATAGTTGGTGTAAATGTTCGGCGATATTTAGATGAGATATTTCCTGGACGATAAATTGGTAGACAAGGTAGAATTGAATGGCCTCCACGTTCACCCGATTTCAATCCTAAAGATTATTTTTATTAGGGATACTTGAAAAATTCAGTTTACAAAACTTAACCAGCAAGTCTTGCAGAGCTAAGGCAACGAATTATCAATGAATCTCGAATAATTTCTAGACAATCATGGAGAAATGTGGTAGACGCCTTCTACCATCGATTAGGGTGCTGTCAACTCACAAATTGAGCACATTTTGAACACTTAATAACGTAACTACTATGTTAAAAATGTTCTAAACTATCAATTGTTACGTTTTAATGTATTTGAAAATAGTTAGTATTAAAAGATTTATTGAAACAATTTAGGCGTTGTCAGACTTCGGTTTTATGTATTTATGACCTTCCAGATTACATAAAATCATGTGTTACATATGGTTGAACTCGTATTGAATAGGAGATTCCAATAATGACTGAATATACAGGGTGATGCATTTGAAAAACCAAAGTTACTAATAATATAAGAAAAACGGGAAATGTGGCAACATTTTAAATATCAAATATGGAATCTCTGTATCCCAAAATAGGTCTCATCCTCAAATTTTGTACAATTATGATTAGCATTTTACGAGATAATTAGCCGTTTCCAGGCTTTTGGGCCACTCTGTATGTATATATATATATATATATATATATATATATATATATATATATATATATATATATATATATATATATACAAATATTAAAAGTGTTCATTACCATCAACAGGTGTTCCTAAAGTATTATAGAGAATGAGACTGTATTTCCCTAAAGCATCTTCATTTTCAGATCTTGTGGCAACAATGCAGTGATCTCCATAACCGGCTATGCCCAAAAGTGCGGCTACCCAACGAGTGTGGCACTAAAAATATCACATTTAAATAAAAGATTATGTTTTAATGAAACATTATGTTACCTGATTATTACTAGTATCCCAAAATGAAAGGCATATTCCAGGTTTATGGGATCTAAACGAACTGAAAACAACTGTTTTCTTAAAATAGCACCACTTATAATCTGGACGGATATTAGCAAAGTACACGAAAGAGTCAACAGCCAAAGCTACCCTTAAAGATCCACCTTCCCAAACACAACACGATATTGAGTTTCCAGGAACTTTTAAAGTTCTTAAATGCTAAAATAAATAAGGGCATTAATTATGACTACTGTGATACCATTAAAGTAGCATACCTCTCCAAATGGACTATAAAATTGAACTAGATTCACTTGTTTGTCTTCTGAAAACTGTCTACCGCATATAGCAAGAAGAGAGCCATTGTGGTTCCAAGCACAGTAAACAGCTAACATCCTAGTATCTACTACAATAGGATCTACAACATATTTAAAGATTTAAAGAAACAATTCGTGGCTTTTACACAAAACTTACTTGTATCACTTTCATTTCTCATTAGTTGAATTTTTCCATTTTCAAAAGTTATAGCTAGATTTGGACCTAGTGAGTACATGCTGCCATTGACTCCATTATACCAATCAATTCCTACTATGGGAATCACATCAAATGTTGCATCATGGCAAACTACGTTCAGTCTCATCTAAAGAGAGAAATATTTTGATATTAGTATTAACTTTTCTCTATTTTCTATTCCTTTTTTTGTTTTTGCGATAAGCCTATCTTAATATAGTTCTGATGCTGTTTGTTTGTGATATTTTTACGTTAACTACTATATTTTCTGGACATAACATGTTTACACTTTTTATTAAACAATATTTTATTTTTGACGTTTATAGTTCACTTCAAGATTCCAGTTTTCAAAATCCATGTGGAGTTGTCTCCAATCGGACGCGTCACCAGGATGCAAAGACTTGCTCTCACAAGCTTTGGCTTGCGTGTAGGTAAAAAATAAAATCAAAGAATGGAAAAGAACAGTATTTTTTGAAGTGTGTAACATTTATTTCTTAGCTGAGCGCTTTCAGCTTATAAAGTCGAGTATAAACATTCTGGGTTAACCGATAATAGTATAAAAGGCCCGGTTTCAGGTAAAATTTAAATTTGTTTCCTGGTAAAATTTGCCAATCTTCATTTCTTAATGTTGATTTAATTGCGTACAATCCAAACTCATTATAATTTCATTAATACAGATAAGGCTTATATTGACGAAACTGTACTGATAAAAGGGTTTTTCGAATTCGATGGTAGTGCGCGACGGATTTGCTAATCACATTTTAAGTGGTTTTCAGATATTTATATAATAAGTTTATAGAACTGAACACCAACCAGTATTTAAATACGAGTTCTTGATAAAATTGGTTTGTCTTTATGTATCACGGGAAGTGTTAAGTAGTATTCATTACTCAGTACTTATTCAGTACTCATTTTATTCATTGCGTTTTCCATTATATGGCGTCCGTGGGATAATAATAATGGGGCTTCTTCTAGTGTTCCGGTAAAGAAGAAACATTTATCTGTAGATGCAAAACAAATTGTAAAAACTATCTGCAGTACTTTACTTAAAAGAGGTCTTGACACAACTTCTGCCACTAGTGAAATATGCGATTTAACGAAAATACCTCTGACCACAGTAAAAAGGATTACATCAAATCCCATACAAACAAGAAAAAAACGTAAAGATTCCAGTTCTACCAAATGTATGGACGAAGCCGATAAGGACTTGATACGTCGAAAAGTCTATACCATGTACGAAGAGCAACGCATACCTACATTAAGAGCTCTGAAGTAACGGCTCAATGTTGACGAAACCCAACTAAGCTGTAGCCTCACCAGCACATAATTTTGAAGAGTATGGGCTTTCGATATCGTATAATTGACAAAAGACAAGTAATTATGGAATCTCATAGATTACAAAAATGGTGATATGTGTATATAACTTCGATAAGAAAATTCCGTTCTGAAGATCGTCCGATAATTTACCTCGACGAGACACGGTTTGAAACACATTCAAGGCAACTTGACTTAAAGGATTTGCCAATTCCTCCGGTAAATATAAGACAAAAGCTCCGTCAAACTAAGGGAAAGGAATAACGATTTTACACGCTAGATCAAAAAATGGTTGGGCTAGAAAGGCCCTGTAGCTTTCTGCAAAAAATATTAGACTCCTGCGTCGACTACCACGAAGATACAACGGCAGAACTTTTTGAAGAATCGTTCAAAAATAATCTTATGCCAAACATTCCTCAGAATAGCGTGATAGTAATGAACAATGCAAGCTATCACAGTCGCCAAGTAAGTGAGGCTCCAAACTCGAATAATACTAAATTTGAAATTCAAAATTACATGGAAACGAATGATATGTATTTTGAAGAATGCTACGCCAAATAAGAGCTTTTAGAAGTTTTAAAGGCATTTTCTATAAAAAAGTATATGTTTATGATACATTGGCAGAGGAAGTGCAACATACAGTGCTGCGGCTTCCACCCAATTATTGTATGTTTAATCTCATAGAACATGTGTGGCACGAATTGAAGTTTAACGTGAGGTCACAAAATATTTCTGCAACGTTAAGTAGTAGAGTTAATAAGAAAATGTGTTAATGATATTCTTCCAAGTAGTTGGAGAAATTCAGTTCGACACGTAATAAGTAAAAGAATTCATATGTTCATGTAGATCATAATATAATTAAACCGATCATAATTAATTTAGATGGGGATAGCGATAGCGAAACAGAACTATGTCTGGAGAGACACTGTAATCAAATCTACCAATGTTACGATTTAAAAAAACGGTTTTTTTCAGAACCACAAATTATTATTAATGTTTGTTTTTCTATAATCTTGGCAATTAAAATATATTTAATTTATTTTAAAACTCATTTGGAAACATTAATTTCGGGTGTATAAGGCAAAGCGATGAACTAACCAGACAACGACCAAAGCTACGGAATAAGAACTTAATGATGGATTTGCGACTGGGAACCTGGAATGTCCAAACCATGCTGCAGGCAGGCAAAATGCAAAGTATTGCACAGGAACTATTGAAGTACGAAGTAGACATAGCAGCCCTCCAAGAAATCAGATTTAAAGGGCATGGTTGCATAAATAAAAAAGAATACAGTATGTACCACTGTGAAGCAGAAAGACAAGGAGACTTTGGAGTGGGTTTTATGGTAAACCATAAATGCCGCAAGTCCGTATTGGGTTTCACTCCAGTTAATGAAAGAATATGCAAAATACGTCTAAGGGGAAAATTTCATAATATTACAATTATTAATATCCATGCCCCAATAGAAGCAGCAGATGAACTAGTAACCGATCAATTCTATGACCAACTACAAGTAGAATGTGAAAACACACAGAAGAGAGATGCAGTTATAGTCCTGGGTGATATGAACGCGAAGCTGGGAAAAGAGCCAATATATGCAGAATTCTTTAGTAACCATAGTTTACATGATATTACCAGCAACAACGGTAGAAGAATGGCACAGTTGGCAATGGCAAACAAACTAAGAATTGTTAGTACATGTTTCCCTCATAAAAATATTCATAAAGGAACCTGGATGATACCTGGTACTAATATCTAAGCGGTGGGGCAACCTCCGCAACGGATGTTAGAACTTATAGAGACGCAAATTGCGATTCGGACCATTTCTTGGTTATATCAACTGACAATAAATCCTGGCATGTTGGCTCTGTTGCATTGGCCTAAATAACACCCACATCCTAAAATTTAGATACTTATCTAAATGATAAGTGGGATCCAGATATAGAAATAAAAGCATAAATAGAACAGGCTTTGGAACATGTGCAATAAGTGGAGGCAAATTATCTATAACTCAAAACTAAGCTTAGATGTCCAAATTAGAGTTTTTAAATGTTACATATGGTCAGTCCTTCTGTACGGAGTCGAAACCTGGACATTAAAATTAAATACTGTAAGAATCCTTTGAAATATGGCTTTATCTCAGAATGCTTAGAATATCATTGACAGCACACATAATGAATTGGAAAGTATTAAAACACCTTATTTTATTAGAACTTATAACAACAATTAAGAAAATAAAGACTTCTACCTAGGCCATATAATGAGAAATGACAAATATAACCTGCTACAAATAATAATAGAAGCAAACATAGAAGGCTGAAGTGGAGTAGGCCACAAGAACAATGTCATGGTTTCACAATATCAGAGCTTAGACAGGCAAAAATAGGGAAGATTTTGATGTAGTAATTGCAGATGCTAGTAATGGAGTACCCCACAAGAAGAAAATTTATTCATTATTGCTGAACAAAATTAAGAAAAGAATATTTTAACTCAAAATTATAATAAATGCTATTTTTATCATTAACTACAATTATGAGAACTCAATAAATGATTGTAAACAAGGTTGCAAATAAATAAATATTCAAGGCAATATGTGTAAACAATAACAGCAAAAATAGTCACTACAGAAAACATAGAAAAGTATCTTTGAACTTACCACAAAATTTCCTTGATTATCATATAGATGTAACTGTCCATTTTTTAAACTAAACAATAATAGTTTGTTATCAGGGGACCACTGTACTCCTGATAGCTGAACTTGCTTTAACTCCTTGCCCCAGATTCTATTCCCTCCAACACAGCCAACAATAACAGCACCATCTTCATAGATAATACAAATTTTTTGACCATCAGCACTCCATGCCATTCCGACTACTGTTGATTTCTTACGATTGTTAATCATTTCTTCATACCAAGCACCCTATAAGTAAAAATACTTAATTTGTTAAACTATAATTTTTCCATTCAATTCCACAAATCCATGTAAATAATCAAGAAACATTTGAGAAGAAGATCCCATGTTTTACATAATGTAGCACAATTTTAGTACAAAATATGTTTAATTTTATGTTTCGATTGCAACTTTGTAAACCATTGGAACATTTTCTGAAATGGAAATCAAAATGCCATATTCCCAATAAAAATAGTGAATTGTATTAAAATGCCAAAAAATAGCACCAGAACAATATTGAATATAATATTCTCAACAAAGCTGGAACTAACACTTTGACTCTGTTGCACAAAGTGAAATTGCTAGTTCCAGTTCAAAATTAATCAGAGTCCATGTTGTGTAATAAGTTAATTGGGATCTCATAAGCTCCAGACTTCGGCCTAATACAGTAGTCATCGCTGAGTTATGTTAGAGCCTAAAAATAAAGCCTTTTGGTTCGCTGGCATAAGAAGGTAAAAAGTAAGTCCAGCACAACCTTTAAATTACATTTGATAATGAGGAGCTACAAAAAACTGATTGTATAATCTTCTTCTTCTTCGGGTTCCTTCTCCTAGCGGAGGTTGGAAATCATCATCGCTATTTTAACTTTGTTGGCGGCATTTCTGAATAATTCTAATGAGCTGCAGCCGAACCACTCTCTCAAATTTCTTAGCCAGGACATTTTGTGTCGTCCAGGGTTTCTCTTCCCTTGTATCTTCCCTTGCATAATCAACCTCAGTAATACGTACTTCTCACCCCTCATTAAATGTCCCAGATATTGAATCTTTCTAATTTTAACAGTTTTTATGACTTCACATTCTTTATTCATTCTTTGTAACACCTCTGTATTGTATAATCTATTCAGGCCTAAATTTAGACAATATATTTAATTCACAAGACCGATTTTATATCTTTGTAAAAAAATTAAATTTCCTAACCAATAGTGTTATCAGATGTCAAATACAGTCTATGTATGTGACATCCAAAGTAAATATTATATAATAATATTCGTAGGGAAATAATAATTAATGGTCTTAACCACTTTAAAAGAAAGCTCAAATAATTAAGTTATAACAATTACTCGTTTTTCTTGGTATGTATATGTTATGAATAATTTTATAATCAACTACCTACTAAGAATGTGTCTTTTTTAATCTTAAACTTAATAGCCCTTAGTTCGTGCTCTGGGAGTTAAACACAGTCAATTTAACTCAACAGAATCTAGTTGAGTCAGAAGGCTCTAGCTCCATCTAGGAGGAAAATAAGTTGATCCTATGGTATACACTGGATTGAGCTCTTATACCATTATTTCTATGTTATCAAACCCTAGATGAGAATAGTGAGCTAGTTCTATGGAATTAACACCAGATAGTATTATAAGTATTCTTGATCTCTTTAAGTATTTGTATTTTAAGATTTAAGTCATTTTTCTTGGTCTCTTTATTTGTATTTTAAGATTTGTATAATTACAATTTACTAGTTGACTTGTTGTCCAATATGTTACAATAAGCTAACATCTTATTAATGTTATAGCAAGTGTTGTTTATGTAGTTACTTAACTATACCTTATTCCATTAAGCGGTGCAGGGCATATAAACAACGATAAATTTAACAGATAATTGTTAAAGATGTTCCAAATGAGTCTACTCGTTCCGATAAGTAACAGTATAATTATGACACTTTATTATTTTTTTTCTTTTCTCAAATATTCGTGTTTATTGCATAGTAAATAAATTAATGTTATTACTGAATAAAAAGTAAGTGAAAAAATACTCCGATTTATAAAATTAATGAATATTTTATGCATAAATGCAAGTAACAGTTCTTCAAAAATATTTAAAAACTAACCGGAATGTCCATCTTTATTTCATCTGGCGAGGTTATCGGCGGTTCATACCGGTTCGGACACGATTTAATGTTTATATTTTCCTGCATGGCTTAATGAATTTTACTATAGTAGGAAATCCAGTCTATTGTATGCCACATCCGCCTATTATTATTATTATTATGGGAACAACTATATGTTTAAAATAGCATATTATAATCATACTTACTTTGTACAACATCCACACAATTATCACACCATTCTGATCACTAGTTGTTAGTTTTTTATGAGATTCATTCCATACTAACACTTGTATATTTTCTGTATGGCCCTCCAAAGTTTGATTCATAGACAAGTTACTGGTAGCAGGTAATCCTTTATTTTTAGCAGCTCCATCAGTTTCATTAGCTAAAGAATAAATGTGTTGTTAATTAAATCGCTATAAAAAGCAAACGTTCTTACATGAATCCAGTTTTAGAACCTTTAAAAGTCCATTTTCTCCTCCAACTGCTATGTAACCATCTAATTTATTCCATGCTATAGCATTGATGTTAGTGTTATTTGGAATTGCAATCTGAAAAATAGTTTCAATTAAATTATTCTGTAGAATTATATTAAATTTATACCTTTTTACTTAAATATATAAACATTTTGAAGTTTACACTTGAAATTCCAAATTACTTTGTTTTGAAATTGACATTTCAGTTGCTATGACAATTCAGTTACTATGGCAAAGAAAATCAGGTTGACCAATACAGGTTGCATCAACTCGGCACTTGTGACGTCATTCCATGTGCTGAGGGATTCATACATTGAATTCAATTCCGAAACTGTTTTCTTGTGGCATCTTTACGTTAAATGTTATTTTAGTAAGTCATAAATTATTGTAACGAGAATTTCATTTTAGATTTTTGTTAATGTCAGATTTCCAATCCGGAAAATATTTTAAAACAATTCTAAAACAAAAATTATGAATGATCTTAACACGTTAACTGCCACGAGAAGCAAGTATACATCTCATACTCTTATCTTACTGACGCCACAAGAAGTACCGTTGTGTCTCATGCCTACGTTTTATTTATATACATATACAAATTTATGATCATCATTCTCAGCATATCTTAGCGCTATTATGGTGCAACCTCACAGTCATTCTTAATTTCTGCCCACGATTGTCTAATACTCGCTTTTCTGTTCTGTGCCATGTTTTACCAGTTTGTTATGTAAATGTTAATATTAAACTCACCAGTCTTTCGGGTTGAACCACGTTGATTTTCATTGCGCCGGGCTTTCGACATCCTCTCTGATGTCTTCTTCAGGGCTTCCGAGGTCTCAGTCTCCCGAGCCCCCAGACACTACTACAATGATCAATATTCACTTCACTTCACTAATGTATACTTACATAGTCGATCTTAATTTCTGCTCCTGATTATCTAATATTCGCTTTTCTCTTTCATGTTGTACCTGATTTTTTCCTTTTGTCAAAGTACCATCTTAAGTTTGGACTTTAAGTTAAGTCCCATCTTAAATTCCACTTTAAAGGTTTAATTCTATGGATTATATCAATGACCTCGGTTACCTGGCTGATCCATTCTATTATTTCCGGTATGTGGTTGCCTAGCATATATGGCTTCACTGATCTTTGAGTTTTGCTATTACCTCTATCTTTAGTATCCAAGTTTCGCAGCCGTACGGCATGATTGGTGGTACACACTGATCTAATGCTTTTTTTCTTCAGGTGGAGTGGCATCCTGGATATTCTTCTGATGATTTCTGGTAATAAGGAGCCAGATTTATGTATTAATTTTGTCCCCGGTATACATACTCATCTACTGTCTCAAGTGCAGTGTTGTTTATTATTATATCTTGGGCATCCATTAGCTCGTTTTACATGGTTTTTGTTTTTGTCAAGTTAATTGTTAGGCGAACTTAATTGCTAGCTGTATTTAAGTTGCTTATAAGTTATTGTAGCTTTGCAGGATTATTTGCGATCAGAAGGATGTCGTTTGCAAGTTTTAGATGCCTGAGGTATTTTCCATCGATGGTTCAGCAAGTTCATTTTGATGAATAGATTTTCTAGGGTTACAGCGAAGAGCTTTGGGTATATTGCGTCTCCTTGTCGGACGCCTCTGGTAGTGGTAAATTTTGGAGTGTCTTCATGAATTTTTTCCTTAGCTTTTGCTTTTCTATACTTATATAATTTACAAAGTCTATATGTTTAACAAAGTTTCTATTACTTTTTTTAGATATATAGAATTGAAAGCTTTCTCAAAATCTATGGAGGTTAAGGTTAGTGGTATTTCATATTCTTTAGCTCTACTCATTAGTTCTCGAAGCATATGGATATGATCCAGGATACTAAATCGACTTCTGAAGCCAGCTTGCTCTCTTGGCTTTGCAGCATTTAATACATTTATTAATCTGCTGTTGATGATCTTTATGAATATCTTGTATATGATTGGTAGTAGACTTATAGATCTGTAGTTTTTGATATTTTCTTTGCTACCTTCCTTATAAATGAGAATTATGCTTTCTTATGAATCAGAATTATATTTGCTGTATTCCAGTGGTCTGGTATGCATCTTGATCATAGGCAGTTCATAAATAACCTGCTAAGATTTTCGAGGTTTTTTGCCAGCGTAATGAAGCAGATCCACTGTTATTCCATCTATTCCAGCAGCTTTACCGTTTTTTATTTTTGTAATTGACGATTCTACTTCTTCTGGAAGGACTTCCTGGTACATCTTCTTGGTTACTGGTTGCCTCTTCAAGTGTTTCAGGGGCTTTGTACAGTTCGCTGTACGATTGCATAGCATTTTCACTGTTTCGATTGCATTTTCTACCAATTTTTCATTGTATTTTTTTATATCTTCCTTAATATTTTTCCTTATTGTCTTACAAAGTTCTGTGTATTGTATTCTCTGTATGTTGCTACTTACTTTTATTTCCCTTCTTTGTTTTAGCATGTTTCTGGTTTTATTAGACAGTTTCCTATGTTCATTTTTCTATTGCGGGCCTTCGATTTCTTTAGCACTATCAAGGATAATTTCCATTAATTGAGAGCAGTGGATTTGGTCTTACGATCCTTCATCGATTGTCCTTTGGTAATGATTTGAGTTTTCTTTTTAATTGTTAATATTAGTTTGCTGATGATTTTGTGATTAATTTTATTCTTTCTAGGTTTAAATGGGGATAGAGGGTAGTACACTTTTATAGTTTCTAGTAAAGGACAGAGTAGTTAGAAGCTTAGCAACCCTATCCCTATGCAACTACTGTTTCTCTCCTAAACTCGCCTCTATGAGAAAACAGGTCCCAATCATGTACTCCATCTAGTCCCCATATATCTTTTTTTTTTCTCACACCTCAACCGGAAGATCGTTAAATATTCCTCACAAAGGGCAGCAGCGACCGGTTGTGCCAAGATAAGGCACATGGGAAATGATCCTGGATCGGCTTATCAATGGATTTTCACAACGGAGCTGTATAGGTAGAATGGTTGTAATTCTGGGATGCAATAGGACAGGGAAATCCATTACATTATCATTCCCAAGAAAGGATTATTCCCTGATTAATACCTCTATGGAAGATTGTCACTCCATCTTTTGCGCGGTCGTCCGATACTTCTTCTACCGATTGGTGACCTATCTCTTGCTATTTTGACGACACGGGTCTCTTCCATTATGCTTATGTGGTTATTCCATTCTTTTTTTCTATTTTGTATCCATTAATTTATGCACTGTACGTTTCATTTTCTTCTAATGTTTTCACTTCTTTCTGAGGCATATGTGGTAACTTGAGGTTTTATCGACTTACATTACCTCTGATCTGTGCAGAGGTTACCTCCGCAGATCAGATGTAATGTAAGTCGATAAAGCCTCACCAGCTACAGGGGGTCATGTAAGATGCCCCCATTTTCAGTTTTTATTAATCAACAAGTTAACAGTCTATTGCATTTACCTTTATAAATACCATGAAGATTGTTTTTTAATACGGATGTCCTTCCAACGTTTTTATGTGGCCATACAATGTTTTTAATAACTTTTTATTAAACTAATGATGGAATGATTCAATTCCGAAAAGATCTTCTTTAAAATAAAAATTTTAAGCTTTTAATAAGCATTTTTATACCTTAATACACACGAACACCACGTGCTTTGTACTATTGTTTTAGTTTTCGGAGATGAGATTGTCATATTAAATTCTATTGCTCTTATGTTAAATCTGTGGACCAGTCTTTACAGACTATCTTCATCTTAGGCTAACAATATTACGTCGTCTGGGTAACAGAGTATTTTTATTTCTTTGTTACCCATTTTGTATCCTTTTCCTTTGTTAACGCTTTTGATAATGATCAAATTGAAGAACATGGAGCTTAATGAATCTCCTTGTCTTATTCCGCTGCCTATTTCTGGTCTGTAAGTTGTTTATATATTCTGACTTCCATTTAGTTGTTTTGGTAGATGTTTTCGATAGTTTTTATGTTTAGGGGAACTTCTCTATTATACAGAAGATGGATTACATCTTTAAGTCTTACTCTGTCAAACGCTTTCTTTAGGTCAATAAGACACAGAAATACTGATCTATTACACTCTAGTGATTTTTCAGTAATTTACTTTATAACTGTTGTTCATCTGTTAAACTTATCCTTTGATTTATTAGCACTTGTAAAATTTTACTTGCAAGTGTTAGCGTGATATTTAAGAAAATAATTTGATCAAAGTTCATTTATTCGAGCATTCAATCTTATATCAATATCTAAGAAAGTTATGCGTGATATCTAAGAGAATGTCTAGGATGTTGTTATACAGTCCGGGTGACGACCGGTGCTACCTCGAGTCTGGGCTAAGGAGTGCGAAATTGGCCTCCGGCCAAGCGAATGTCAGTGACCAGGCATCGTGTGGAAATTCTACTGGTCCACAGAAAATTAATTAATGTCAGTACATGGAACCTATAAGGGCTAAAGACAATACAGGTAAGCTGTAAATTATTGAACGACAGCTGGTAAAATATAATATTGAAAGCTGTGGGTAAATAATCGTCACAGTGTCAAATCTTTTCATTGTAGCAGTTACGTAGTGCAAGACCTGGATGATAGTGAAATTTTTGTTTTGTACTCCGCACGAGCAGGCAAACACAAAGTTTTTTAATAGCAGGATCCAGGTAGGTGTTAAAAATGATAGAGCATTGAGGCAACGTCATCTGACCCCTTTTTTGCCATGGTCTGCTCGTACTTGTACATGATTGAAACACCATTGAACAAAAGAGTATTAAAAATATACAAAGAAAGCTGCCTTCTAAAATACACTTCAGCAGAAGTTATATTCGAAGTAGGGAGATTTATCCGAAGTTTATAGCGATAGCCTCTACAGTTGATTACTTTCTAGCTTCAGTTTTTGCACGCCTTTTCAATTCGTAAAACCAATCAGCCTACTTTAAATGGAGTGTCTTTCCAAATTCTAGCTTCCTGATATCGTTCTCTAACTTTACTTTTCCATCATCACCTTTTGAAATTGCATATTTCCTATCAAGTTCAATAATTTTGGCTTTCTGCTCGCCATACCAACAGCACGTTTCAGTTCGTGGGTAACCGAAGGAGATGTTAAACTCTAACACAAATACTTGCCTGCTTCATAACGCATCTCAATACGGGAATGTTTAATCAAAAATAATTCAATAAGCTTTTT